CTCTCTTTCTTCCTTTCTCTCTGACTTCATTCCCATCTTTCTATCTCTTTCCTTTTTTCAACATTTTTATTTAAAAAGCCTTTTCTTTAAGATTTTTGTCCCTTTAAATTGTCTTGCTGGATTTCATGCCCAATAGCCTGGATTAATGAGCCATTTTGAACCCCAAGCAGACAGATTATCCTTCTGTTCTTGAAGGTGTTGGGATTGGAGCTGTTTTGGTTTTTTTTTTCAAACTGACATAATTCTGCAAGTTTCTGTGCCATTTTTCAGTCAGGTGTAATGATATAATATTATTTGTTTTGAAGTTCAAAAGCCTGAACAGAAAGTGCATAGAAAACCAGGATGAAACTATAGCAGATGTTGCAGGGCCTTCTCAGAAAAACAGCTGTTGCCTTCAAGAGAAATAGCACACTCTTCACCAGCTGGCATTAGGGAAACTGGGTAGAACAGAGCCTCCTCGGTTTTTCTGGCAATTCTTTGGCATAGATTATCTTTTTTTTGGTTGTCTAGGGATGAGAAAATGTAGTGGTGAAAGACCAAGTGATCTGGCCAAAGACTTCCTGCCAGTGGCAGCAGAGAAAGATCCAAGTGTTCTCAGTCACCTCACTTGCTCCAGGTGGTCTCTGTGGTGGCTGAATGAATCACCACAGAGAGAGTGAAATCTCAGCCTGAGCCCTGCAAATGTGATCTCATTCATTAAAATATCTGGTTCCCTCCTGAATCAGAGCATTTTGGAAAGTGTTACTACACCACCAAAAAAAAATAATTCCCAGGTGTGGGTGTCTGGCACCAAGAATAAATTTCAGCCTCTGTCTGGCAGCCTCCTCTGAGACATGTGAAGCTCCAGCAGCAGTGAGCAGCACAGTGGCACATGCCCTGCTTGGGGAACACCTAACACCCTTGTCTCTGGTGACTCCACAGGGCTTTGGGTACCAAACCTTCCTGGATTGAAGGGCTTGTCCGAGCCATACTGCACACCAGCCAGGTGAATGTGATCGCAGTAGACTGGGTTTATGGGTCTACAGGAGCCTATCCCTCCGCAGTGGAAAATGTCACACAGCTGGCCCTCGCCATCTCACACTTCATCAGCAAGCTCCTGGTAAGCTACTGGGCATTTCCAGTGCAGGGAGCACAGCCAGGAGCACAACCTGCTGTATCCAGGAGTTGGACAAGTGGATTTTTTATTCCAGATTTTTTCTGTTTTCCCTCTTTCAATCCAGGCTTGAGTATGCCACCATTTTTATTCTTCCTTTTGAGTTTTGACATTTTCTGGAAAAAATCTCAGTTGTCAGCTGCCTCTTCAGAATAAACCTAAGGCCTGCCTTGGGTTTTCTCAGATCCATAGTCACTGGACAGTCTTCTTCTGCTGCTGATAAATTTTGCCCAGGAAGCTGGAGGAAGTGAGATTTGAAGCTATATTATGTTTGCTCTGGGCTTCAGATACACTTCACACTCTGTGGAAATACCCAGATGTGTCCCGTTCTGTTCAGGGAAAGCATAGCTGAACAAGACTTCTGCAATCAGGGTGATGAATCCTTGTGTTAACAGCTACATGTAAACCCTCCATTAAATGTTTGCAGTGTTGACCTATCTGTTTAGGGCTGGGTTTGCATCTGTGGACCTGAAGAAAGGCTCTGAAAAACAGATAAGGGCAATATCCATAATTTCCTAAAGTGTTTGGTTTTCCACTGTACACTTCAAAAGCAATCCTGCATTAGGAGAGTTATAGAGCTGCTGTGTGGGCTGGGACAGGGTATTTCACCTTTCTGCTACAGAAACAATAGTTTTTATTATTGTCACCCTGCAGGCCCTGGGAGTCTCAGGGACATCTATCCACATCATTGGGGTAAGCCTCGGAGCACACGTCGGGGGCCTGGTGGGGCACTTCCATGGCGGTCACCTGGGACGGATAACAGGTACCATCAAACTGAGCCTGGGGTCCTCACCTCTCCTTCAAGAGAGAGTGAAAGAGGCAAGAAAGAGGAGTCATTCAGAGTGGTATTTTAATTTCGTAAGGACTCACTAGATCCAAGCTTATGGGCTTCTTCCTAGATTCTGACAGCGCCTTTCCAACATCAGTCCCCTCCACACTGCCAAAAGAACACAATCATTTGCAAAAAGATCCTTTCACCTCTGCTACACTCTTCAAATTGGTGCCAACTTACAAGCTGAGTACAAGCCCTCATGACTAGTGAAAGCCCACAACACTCAGAAGCTTTGCTTCCAAATTACAGCACGTACATGTGGTTCTTAGAATTAAAGCCCACAATGCAATTGAGGAGGGGAGCAGCCGGAGTGAGCTGCTCTGCAGGAAAATGTGAGCTGAGAGCCAAGGGGACAGTGAGGTGGGTAGTGGCCCCACAGACAAGGGATACAGTCCTGCTGTGTTTGGGCAAGAAGAGCAGTGCAGGTCCAGTGACAGCCCAGTGGTCATCAGGCAAGTTTGTAGTGATAAGGCAAGCCTTTTAGCTTTTATTTACAGAAAGAACAGAAAAGAAGGTGTTTTTTCCTTCTCCTTTCCTCCTTCCATTTCCCCTCACAAATGCAGATATGCTCATTTGTATATTGTTGATATTGCCTTCTCCATAAAGAATTAATGAGACTAAGTCCAAAGCTGTGAAACCAGCGAGCTCCATGGCATCTGGAGCAGACCTGCTTCCTAAGCTATTTTTGCCTGGGGAGTAAAAAAAAAGTCTTGTGGTGTTATTCTTCCAACAAATGAGAACAGGATAAACCTCAGGGGAAAAAAAAAAAAGTAAACTGCTTCTTGGTACTGCCAAGGATACTTCTCTGTGTTCCTATGAGTCCACGGAAGTTGCTCTAGGAACAAGTTTTAGGCAAAAATGTAGATGATTGCTAAAGACTCAATTTTATTTGTGAGGAAAGGGCTCAGAAGTCTCTTTGGTTTAAAACTGTTAGGTAGTATGAAACTTCCGTAATTCCTGAGTTGGTTAATGCCTGGGGTGCTGAATTCACCACCTAAATGCTGATCTCCAGTGACATTTCTCAGACTGTAGTGCTGATACACATGACAGTACAATTTGGGAAGGCATTAAAAAGTTTGATTCTCTTTCACCAAAACTCCAAGAGACACTATGCACCCACTCTGTCAGAGCTATTTAAAGCTCAGTCATGGCTTTACAGCCTAGAACCTTGAGTTAAAACTCTGCTGAAAGGGTGTGGAGCAGCAAGGATAATGCAAGGAACCTGTAGTGGAAGCTGGCACTGGCAGAAACTATTCTGGAGCTTAATTGCTGAGAACTGAGAATAATTTATTATTTCTGCCTAGCAATATTTTTTAAGTTTTAGATAAAAATAACTGGTTCAGAAATAAGAAAGAGAGGGGTTGAAGAGTACTTGTTGTTGAGGTGTTTGATTTTCTTACAGCCCTGGATCCTGCAGGCCCTAAGTACACCAGAGCCAGCCCCGAGGAACGCCTGGATCCTGGGGATGCCCTCTTTGTGGAAGCCATTCATACTGATGCTGACAGTAAGCTGGCTTCCCTCTTCCTCAGCCTGGGCTTCTGTTCCCCCTGACATCATTATTGCTAAGGGGGCTGTAGGTCATTGTCCCTTTTTTGCCAGACTACCATGAATTCAAGTTCACTCTGAGGAAGTTTCTTGTTAAGAAAGGCTTTGATGACCAATTCATACCCCAGAGCACTTCAAACAACCGACAGGCGGAGATTGCTGCAGCAGAGTGAGTTTACGAACAACCAGCTCGGCATGACTTTTATTGCCTGAAGGGAATTTATAGGCCAGGTTTCAATTTGGTTTTTTCCCACCTGATTTAAGAGAAGTGCCACGAGAGTGCTGTCTGAAAGTAACAGAGTCAAACCAACAGCTGGTGCTACAACAGAGTAACTTCTCTAAAGCACTGAGGGTCTACATAGGCAGAACACGTGCTAAAGAGTAATGTGGTGCCTTTGAGTCACACCTTTTGCCTGGAGACCACGAAAACCTTTACCAACACAACCCCCAATTATCCTTCATAATCCCAAATTAAGGCTGTGGTCGGTTTAGTTCTCCTTTACATAGAATCAAGAACTAGGGCTGCTGAGGTGGTGGTTAAGACACAGTTTCCAGTCATTTTGATGGCAGAGCCTGGAGCATTTTCTTCTCCATGCATCAAACCTGTACATGTAGAAGCAGGAAATCTGGCCTTGATGTCTCCATCATTAGGGCTGGCTCCAGTACTACTAATGCTCAACCAATTATTGGGACCTGTCATCACCATGTAGGGTAAAGCCCAAGGAAGAGCCAAGCCTGAGAATGAAGTGGAATTTCACCTCCTTTCAGATTTCGGGATCCGGATTCCTGTAGGCCACATCGATTACTTTGTCAATGGAGGCAAAGATCAGCCAGGATGCCCCCGATTCATCTCTGCAGGTAAGAGCACTCTCTGACCAAGCAAAGAGCTCTCATGGCTATTTAGCAGCCTGTGAAAATGCTGTTTGGCAAGTAGCTCTTGCTACAGCCAGGGCAGTCAGCAAAGCGACAAACATGTTCACAGCCCACATCTCGTCTCAGCAGTACAAGAAGCAGGTGAAATTAAAATCACATACAGATCAAGTGTTTTGGCAGCACCACCATCAAGAGATGCGATTTTGGTGATGCTTCCCTGTGACACAAAACCCTATCTTCAGTAGAGATGACGCATTGCTAGAAAAAGCTCTTAGGTAGCACTAACAAAAGCTGCTTTTTGTTTTCATGCTGGCAGTCGTGTCTACTTAGAATGTTCCTTCACTCCCAGTTCCTTGGGAATGAGCAAAAAGCCTGAAGCCGACAGGAACACTCATGGCTGCTTGTCTCTGGTTAATTTTTTCCTTGCAGGCTATAACTTCCTGATCTGTGATCACATGCGGGCTGTGCATCTCTACATCAGTGCCTTGAACCATCCCTGCCCCATCATGGGGTTCCCCTGTGCAAGTCATCAAGATTTTCTAAATGGTCATTGCCTGGACTGTGCAGAACCCTTCCTGACCTCCTGTCCCAGAATAGGTACAGTACCAGCATGAGATCTTCCTGGAGCAGATGACAATACATTCCTGATGGTGTCAGTGCAGAGCACAGGATGCAGTCCACATTTCTCTCAGCAGGATTTGCTTTGGATCTCTTTGGGAAGAGTGAGAAGCTGTTTCATTTTCAGGTTTCTACAGACACATTTTAAAAGCTAATATATTGTGCAAGGTAGAACAGTAAAATCTTGAACATTTCTGATCTTTAAACATTTCCTAGGGCCCAGATATTTGTTGAAAGAGAGTTTCCAGAATTGCCTGCCAGAATCAGTAGGCAATCAGCTCAAAAAATGTCTTGCTTAGAGAAGCAGCTGGAAATTTTAGTTCAAGCCTGAAGTCTCTTTCTTCTGCACCATCCAGTGTTACTGAGTCACCTCCTTTTCATAAATTTCTGCCATGGTCACCCCAAAGATGATGGGGTCCAGTCCGGATGATGACCAGTCCTTGGACTGGAGAAGGTAATAGGCTTCTGAAAATGGGCTGTGGCATGAGGAAAGGAAGTGTCTTCTGCTGCTCTTTGCAGTATGGTGCCAGAGGAACATAAAGAGAGGCTTTTTTTGGTATAGGTTCTCTCAGATCAGCCACCTCTTCCCCTTCTCACCAAACCATTTTGCCAGCTATTCAATGATGCAGGCCATGAGTTCTGGTGGTTTGCTCATTTGACCAAGGAATTCCATTTCCCTTGTGTTTGCACTGTCATTTACACCTGCACTAAGCTACCTGACTTGGCAGTCTTTGGTCTTGCCCATTTTGCACAGATGCAACTGATAGCACAGTTTGTTAGCAGAGGAATGAAAAGAAAGCCACCAAGAGGTTCTCTGGTGATGATTACCTGGGGTAGCCAGAGGAGACTTTCTGAGGGAATGTTAACCTTTCAAACAGACACCACAAACTTGTACTTGCTCTGATTTGCACTGGTATAAGAAAGGGACCAAGACAGGGGAGTCAGGAAAGGAGGTGACTGATTATATTTCTGTTCTGTCATTCATGGCTTTCCCTGCACTGACTTCATTTCTTTTCACAGGCCTGCTGGAGCAGGCAGGTGTCAACATGAGCAGGCTGCCTCAGGAAGTGAAAGTTTTTTTAATGACCAGTCCTTCAGCCCCATTCTGTGGTAAGCAGCATGAGAGAAAAATGAGCCAGAAGGGTGTTGGTCTCTGAGGAGCCCGGGTAGTTCCAGCACATCAGAGTTCCAGTCCCCATCAGAGTCAGCTGCTGTGGGCCATGGGGTCTGAGACACACCACTGAAGAGCAATGACCCTGCACATCCCTTCCATAAAGCCCTTTCCAACAGATTTGTTAGTGTGGGCACAGCCCTGATCTAACACAGCCACGTAGTTTCAGGGCTGAAGTACAAAGGATGGAAAATGCCTGTTTGTTCACACTGGGCTGTACAGACATGACCCCATGCCTCACGTAGCACAGAGACTTGATTCTTTCTTATGTCTGTTTAATCTTTTCTGCTGGTGGGACTGGGGAATGAGTGCTAGAGCCCCTCTTTTGTCATGGGTAGCTCCTACAGATAGTACATGTCCTCACACCCACATTCTTTGCTTCTTGCTCAGTCCACCACAGCCTGGTTGAGTTCCACTTGCAGAAGAAAAGGAACAGAGTGACCAGCATTGAGATCAGTTTCAGCAGCAACAGCACCAAGGACACAGCAAAGATCACCATGTGAGTGCATGCTTCTGGCCTATTCTTTCCCAGCTCCATGAGTAAGGATGTTTATCCTAGCCCAGGAAAAGCACAACAGTGTATTTCCCTGAGTGATTAACCACAACCTTGCTTCTTGAGTCACTCCACATTTTCCTTAAATGCCCTCAAGAATCAGGCATGTGCTACTACTACTTAGTAACCCTGACTGGGTCCATGTCTTTCCCAAGTGCACAAAGCAGTAGGAACACTCTTGGAGCCCCAGGTTTGCATACTTTGTGTGGCTCTGCTGGTTTCTTTTCCACACCATATTCTGACCTGGCGCCACTTCAAACTGCAATCACTGTCAGATAGTCATTAGCCCTGCTCTGGCAGACAGGGGTGGCCTACAGCAAGACCCCAATCCACCAGAGGCTCCAGACAGGTGGACTTGGTGGCTTAGACATTTCTCTTGATGCCCAAGAGGACAGCAGTTGGAAAGAGGAGACAAGTGCACCTCGGCACAGTCAGGAACATAGCTTGTTGCCTCTGCAGTAATGCAGAAATGCTCTCGCTCCCATTGCAGGCAAAACCAAGGGACAGGGAACCAGGATCCACTGTGGAGACAGGAAGATGTCTCTTGAAAGCACCACCTTCCACCAGACTGTGTCTGAATTAAAGAATCAGACTCCACAGCTCTTGTAACCAGAGGATCTCCCCACCACAAGAAGTTCCCCAGAGCCTTCCTCACTTCCTACTCCTTGCCCACTGCTCTGGACTGGGATGCAGCTAGCACATGCTGCTGGCTTCCACAGAAAGCAGGAAAAGAGCCTGCTAAAGTCATCCAGCCATCTCCCCTGGGATCACAGGGCTTCCAGCGCTGGCTCCCACACAGCCCTTACTGCTAAGCCTAGCTATGTGACCTGGAGCTAATTGTGTTGCTGATTCAGTTGTGGGCACCAGGAAGTAGTGGGGAGAAATGGGGAAGGGGAAGCCACACTCTAGGGTACTCTCCAGAGTGACACAGATGCTTGGTCACAGATTTCCAGCCAGGTAGCACAATTTGGGTTTGTACACCAGCCTGGTGGAGCTCAGTCTGTTCGACTCCTCCTGGTTTGGAGGACAAATCTGCCTTTTTCGCAGATGCAGGAGGGAAGAAATAGTAATAGCCAGGTCAGACAAGGACCCCTGCAGCTCTTCCATTGGCAGCTGTTGGACACTGGGCTTGGTGGGAGCCCAGCAGGAGGCATGTGAGTGCTGGAGGGAAAGGCTGCCCAGGGAAGTGAGCCAGGCAGGCAATCCCGAGGCTTTGCTGTACCCTCTGGTTTTAATGAGACAGTGGAGTTAGAGCAGGGAAGCCTATCCAGAGATGCCCTGCGGGGGGGAACAGCAGCTGTGTTTCTATTAAATGCCTTTCTTAGAAGCACAAGGCTAAACTGAAAAATTTGCTTACAGCAATAAACCTACAGATTTGAGAGTATAAAATTGGAGATATCCCTTTTATTTCCCACTAGTAGCAAAGGGCAAATTTTCTTGCTCTAGGCAAAGCTCAGCCTTCCAGTGCAGTCAAGCTCAGAGTATCATATGGGCATCTAAACATAGATCCTCACATCACAGTTCAGACACTGATCGATCAGTGACTTATCTCAGATGATCTGTCATGTAAATCATCCTGCAGTTTCCCAGAAGCGCAGAGGGACTTACTTGGGAGTGTTCAGCTAGTCTCAGACCTTCAGCAAAAGACTCACATGATTGTGTCTTGCCTCACACTGCCCTTCTTGCCTCCTCTCCCACATATCCATTCCACTCTCACTCCTCCCCACATGTTGCTCAGAATGCCCCAAGAGACAGGTCCCCAAGCTTCAGTAGCTGACATGGGCCTGATGAGTGAGGAGTTTGCTACACAGCTGGGCACTTCCCAGCTGCACTCCTGTGTGCTTACACATCACATGACATCATCCCCCATATCCAAGAAAACATACCTCTGAAGCCAGCCAAGTCTCTTAAATCCATCCAAAGGTTGTGCGGGATGGGACCCAGCATCAGTCACAGGAGTGGCTCTTTCAGCATGATTAACTGTAGTGAGTTCCTCTGTCCATGGACAATGTGCCATAGAGAGATGGCCTCCATTTGCTATCCATTATTCACTTTTATAAACACAATTTTGCCATGCTTCTTATTTTTAGCAGCTTCAAGCCAGACACAGACACACAAAACCCAGCAACTACTGCTGCAGTCTAAGGGAGAGACTGGGTGTGCTGCTGTGGGCTGGCTGCTGTGAGTGCTGCTGTCAGCCTGTGCCTGAGAGTTACTTTGGTTAGCAGAATTGTAGGCTCTTCCTGACCCTTTTGTCACCTCTCCCCTTTCCCTGCCATCATATTTCTGATCAGACAGTCACTCAGGTGGTTTGGGGACTGTGCCAAGCCAGCACATTTATCATTCCTCACAAGCACAAGGAAATCAATGATCTCCATGCTCTAGGAGGGGCCAAGTAGACCAAGTGTAAGGCCCACTGGATGGACTCCATAGAAGGGACTTAAAATACCTGGGCAGCACAGATCTGTGGGACACAACTCACTGGGCTCTGGTCATTGGCTCATCACCAAACCTCTGTCATTTCTCAGTTCACATTGCCTGGGTAAGAGAATAGGGACAGACAAAGGTCCCTCTATCTAAGCACCCCACCTTTGGCATGATCAAAAGCAAGTAGCTAGAGAAGAGTATAAAAAAATCTCTGTGTAAGCGTGTAGCAATACTTCCCCAAAGAGTTTCCCTGTGTCTAGTTACATCTCAGGGACTTTCAGAGCCAAAGAAGAGATCTTTATCCTTACTAGCTTTTGTATTCCACAAACCTATCCGGTCCCCCTCCCTTGACTTGTACAGTCTTGTAAACTTCCTGGCATTCACAACATCCCAAAGCAAGGATTTTAACAGCTTGAAAGGAGTGGTACTCTGCGCACTGTGCATTTTTTTGATCCTGCCACCTCTTAGCTTCCTTTGAGGATTCCAGTTTACTGGAAGAAATGATGCACAACTGATCCCCATCCATGGCATTCACCATTTCATAGATGTTGACTTATCTACTACTTACCTTTCTGTGGCAAGCTGAGCAGTGTTTCAATACATACGCAACAGTAAAAAGAATTGGTGATGGAAGGAAATATATTTATACAGAAATATTCCTGAATACAGAGATAAAACATGGAGAGACAGCCTGGAAGACGCTCATGCAATGCCTTGTTTTGACAGATGAGTCTTCTCACTCCATTTTATTACGTGAGGGCTTCCCAATAATACTGCAGATTCCTCCAGTGTTTCCATGGATCCGCACGTGGACTGTATCTGCAGATTGACTGAATACCTCCCTCAATCTCTCATCCTGCCTTGCAGACCCAAGGACCAGGAGACAGGCAAACATCTGCTGGCCCACCGAGTTCCCCTCTGCCAGGTAAACAGCGTGACCCTGAGGTATATCCCCAAGAATCGTTTTTGGAGCAAGGATGAGCCATCTGTTGTTGGCAAGTTCTGTGTAGCACCACTGCCTCTTAACAGCAGGTAAGACTCAGGATTGTCATACAGGGATGCACTGAGCCTATGGATGCAGCCTGTGGTTTGAAGCAATGCCTTTTTCCACCTAGTTAAGGAAAAACACATAAAGAGGTCTTTCCTATCACCCCTGTGTCCCTATGTAACTCATTTTGTATTTGTGAAAGAGAAAAGCTACAAAGGTAGTTCTATAGGAGTTTTCTAAAATTCTTCCCCCAGGATAAAAGTGTAGTGCCATGGAAGGAATAGGGCTGCAACTCACATCACCTTGAAGATACCTATGTCACAAATCACAGCAAAAGCTTGTACTAACTAAAATTTATTCCTTTGTCCTTGCTTGCCCTCTCCATCTTCCCCTGTCTACAATGGGTCCCCATCTAAAACATGACCGGTGAACATTTTTCAGGATGAGACAACGGAAGACCAATAATATATTTCTGTGTTTTATACAGCAAGGTTTATAAAACACTAAGGCTGTAGACAACCATTTTGACATTTTCTAGGTCAGACATGGTAGAGTATATACCTTCAGCTATAGTTACCTTTCCTGGAGTAAAAGCAGCCAAGTCCTTCTCATCCTGAGAGAGATGATTGTCTTCTCCATAATGCAATATTCTTGGCAGGAGTTTTGCAGATCCAAAGTTCTTGCAGGCAGGAAAAAACTGAGTCTATAGTGACACCTTAAACTGTCCATCCACATTGCTTCTGAAATGCTGGCTCAAGGCTGAAGCAAGCTAGTGGATACTTCAAAGAAGGTTCAAATTCTATTTTGATGGACAGTAGGGAAGCTGAAGTTCTAGGCAGTAAAAATATATCCAGCAGGCCCAGATAGGAGACGAAAAAAGACATTCTTATATAAATACCAGTCCCTTGAGTATAAGGACTATTCCTTAATAGCATGTTTTACAGTCCAGAGTTGGATGTGTTTTTATCACTTATGAAGGGGACAGCAAGGCACATTGCCTGAAAGAGGTTCTAACCTGCACCCCTGGAAGCACTGGACTTGGCTTTGATAGAGATAGAAAGCTGTAGAGTTGCACAGGCTCACAGCTGTGCTCCTGTCACTATGCTGGGAGCACTCAGAGCAACAGTGGTGCTGCTGAGATCAAGGGAAAGGTGAAGGACACGAGCCCATACGCACCCTTCCAGCCAGGACACAGTGGCCCATTCACTATCCCTCGCAAAGCCAGCCTGACTTCTCTGTGCTCTTCCCACAGCAGGACAACGTCGTGCCTGCCCAGGATCCTCACCCTCCCCAGCAACACAGACATCTCCTATGACCTGCCCACTGCTTGTGCCTAGCTCTGCCTTCAGGATATGCAGAACCAGAAAGGAATCCTAAATCTAGTGCTGCTCCCTGCTCCCAGATGATACTTTCAGCATAAAACTGGATGGGTTTTTTACTCCCTGCACTAGGGGCAAGATGTCAAGGAAAAGAAGTGCATGGCAGATTGACAAATACAAGCTTAACTGGTTACAGCAAAATCTTTCAGTTGAAAGACTGGATTGACATTTTTGTCTCCCAGGTTCTGTACCCAGCTCGCAAAGTGAGACAGGAAAGTCATTTAATCTCAAGGTTTGAATCTGTATTAAAGAAGGAGTGGATAATATCACTCTTTTTGTAGTGGTATTTGTATTAGTATAATTCATTAGTGTATTAGTGTTTTATATTAAACTGTCCTGAAATCTTCATATTAAAGGTGAGAGGTATTCTTTTTATTCAGCAAGGGGAAACTGTGTGGTCCAAGTCTGGAAGGAAGGAATCATTCTTAATCAGACCTCCAATGGGAAACTCACTAGACTCATCTACAAGATGCTTTCAGAGGGAGACCCTATTGATTTTACAGCACATAATTCTCTCTGAAACTCACATGAAGTGAAGCAGACACCAGGAGTAGCACAGAGCTGTCACATCCAATTTTGTACTGCTTTCACCATCTGCCCAGAATAGAAGGTAGAAGGAGAATGGAGCACTGTAGCCACAGGGCCACCTAACACGAAACAGTCCCAGGAACTCAGCACAGCTGTTCAGACCAGAAAAAGTAGTTGAAGTCTGGAAATAATTGGTGAAAGATTACAGCGGGATGCATGACCACAGAAACAACACACCCACACCTATTCCACACCATGATACATATGCAAATTAAAGAGTTGACAAGTCTTTCATCATTTCTGCCCACAAATCACATCTCCTGTTGACCATTTTCCCTGGTTCCCTGTAGTGGCCTCACTGAGTGACAGAAAAGTGTACCAGGAATTCCATGCTCAGGAGTGAGGTACATGCTAAAAGCATTTTTGCCATGAAGAATTGTCTCAAGTCATTTGCCATGAACCGTCACTCCTGCTCCACTAGACAGTGTCACAGCAGGATTAGCTCCTGCTCTCAGTTCACATCCAAGATTTGGGGCCCAAGACTGTTTGGAAGGACAGCTAACAAACACCATCTCCAACACACACTTGGGAGGGGGATAGAGCTGGACTCTGACAACCTGAGAGAGATCCATGTTAGTTGGCATCATGATTGAAGAGTTTCCTGGGAGCTTCTTGTTGAAGACTGGAATATAAGCTCAGCAGACACCAGTGAAGGGCAATGTGTAATTCTGCCCAGCCTGGTTCACTGCTTCAGGCAGGTGTGTAAAGTTCCTCGACAGATGGACCCAGTACCACTGCAAATTTCAGTTCCTTAGCAGAAGAGTCCCCATCAGCTGTCGTGTCAATCTGCTGCAGACATTTCCAAGTTGTGAAAGGCAGTGAGGTCAGGCTGAAGCACCAATGTATTGACAGAGCATGGTAACAATCATGAGCAGGATGATTTCCAGGCCTGGGCTAGCCCCATTCTCCTAATCTGCTGTGGGAGCAAAGGTGAGCAGTGCAAGGAGCTGTGTACATCACAAATCCCACATACTCACCACTCCAGAGGCCCTCAGTGAGAGTGCTTGATCCCAAGGGCATAGGTTTTGCCCAGCTGAGACTTGCAAGACAGGCCAAACCAGATGCTGGGCCACAGCCCCTGTGTGAATAGAGCAGGGCAGGGCAGGGCAGGTGGGGCTGCCTCCATCAGCCCAGGGCTGATACAAAGCCAGCCCCACAGGCAGGATGGCTGAGGCAGAGCAAGTCTGTGCCAAGAGGCACTGAAGGACACCCTTCCCTGTGTTGATGGAAAGACCAACATTCCTTGCTCTTTCCCTGAATACCTGCCCTGGAGAGGTTCCTACTCCCATCCCCAACTTGTGTGTACCTGGCTCTGTGAGACAGAGGATTCCTCCACAGGTACTTCCAATTCCCTGACTGAGGAAATGGCTGGGAAAGCTGATGAGACAAATCTGTTGCAGCTGAACTTGGAAGAAGCCTTCCATCTCTACATTATTTTCATTAAGGCATTGTACTTCCTACCAATGGCTGCTCTCTTCACAGATGTTTTGTATCCATTCCTTCCTTCATTTGCTGTTTGTGCACCCTGAGGTCACGCCCCCTTGAGCACACGAAGAAAAGGGTTCTTGCCTACATCTGATCCAACTATCAATTTCTTCCCTTTTTTATTTCAATAATCAATGCAAACAACCAACCAGAAGTCTTTTTTCACCAGCTCCTTTAAGAAGCTGTGCTTGTCATTAATGAGAAATCCTAACTCCTGGAAAAGTAATTTCTGGTCTTACTAGTGAGATGCATATCATCAAACTCTCCATTGTTAGCCCTTTACCAAAGCTGTCAGGTGGCCCATTTCCCCTTGCCCTATTCACTCTGTGCCTTGAGATCACCTCGAGTGCACCCTCTTCAAATCCTCCCTCCCTCCACCTCTTCAAATCCTCAAACACCAATAGTTTCATCTCTGACTTTAATGGGAATCATTGAATCAAAGGGAACACAGATTCTGCAAGCAGGCTTGTATTGCTCGCAGGATATTGGTGCACTTTGGTGGCAGAGCTGCTGACAACCTCAGAGAGGCAGGACTTGAAAACAAACCGTGGAAGCAGGCTGGGGAAGGCAGCTCTGGTGAACAGCCATGGGGTGAGAGGTGCTGGAGTGTCACACTGCAGTCTTAAGCATGTGCTTCATGTGCTCCTGAGTGTAGATATCTGCTGGCAGATGTCTCTGCATGCTAAAGAGTGTCTCTGGTCAAAAACCTGTGTGAGCATCTGCTCCCTTGGAGGGGCTTTGGGATCAAAACAGTCTGTTGTTCCCTAGAGTTCGGGGGTCTGAGTGGGAGCCAGAGGGGCTCGTCCTTTGCAGAGAGGGTGAGAACTCTGGAGATGGTTTTCAGAGGCTGCAGAAAGAACACAATGAAGGAGGAGGGAAAAGGGGGCCAGGGAAGAGAGAGGGGGAGGGAGAGAGAGAGAGAGAGAGTGCACCATTACTATCATACTTTCAAACTTTCCCAAGACACAAACCTCATGGAGCCCACCATCACCTGTTCTTCTCCCCTCCCCTCCTAAATGAGCATGCAAAGCTATGTAATTCTTCAATAACTGATAAACTGGGGAAAAGGGTTATGCACTCATTCTGAGATGGCAAAAACAAACCCTTCCAAAGTGCCTTCTGTGATATTGGTTTAACAAAGCCCACAGCTCCTTTGCTTTTGCTCTCAAAGCAGGTACAAAACATTAACTACTAACTTAGACATCAAGTTGCAGACCATCAAGCATCCATCCACTCATCTCACCCAACAACAGAAAGACAGCCCCAAGATGTAACTAAAAAAACAGGTAGCAACAGCTACACATCCTGCAAGTACTTGATAGCAACAAACTAGAACAAATGCAATGTGAACAGGAGAAAAACCAGGCTGCTCTTGGTTCTTTAAATTTCCATGCAAGGAATAAAGCAAGCACTGAGCAGAACCTCTGAACCTGCCTCCTCTGAACAGACAGCATCCTCCTTAGAGAAAGAATGTGCTCATCAGTGGGATATCACAGTCCATCTTACTCATAGGCGGACTAGAAACACTTTCAAGGAACTAGATGACATGAAAGTAGGCCAATATATCTTCCATGAATTTTTTCTTGTATCTGACCTCTGTAGCACTTTGGCATTCAAGAACTGCCCCCCTGAACCATAGTGCTACAAGGTGGCTGTTGCAGTTTCAGAAAAGGAAGAGGAATGTGACCCACAGAAGCACTTCAGCATGGGGAATTTAGAGAGCTGCAAGGCGATTATCGCGTTGGGAGTTACTGGGGAAGGAGATGAGAACACAGACCAGGGGAAAGCCCCAGGGGAACTCTGATCTCAGGGACTTACTTTGAACAATGACACTGCAGGGGATTTTCCTGTTTATTTCATATGTAGGAAAAAGCTATGAAAGTGCTCTCCCTGAGCCACAGCAGACCTGCTGGGATTATTTGCTGAGCTGTGAAGAGTGTTTGGATGGAGAAAAAGCCTGCGGCTCCTCTGTATCACTTGTTTTTGTTGTGAGGCACTCAGGTTGCTGTGGAATATTGTCCAGATGTCCAGACAACTGCTGTTGTGCCTCTGGAATGTGATGTGGGATGTGATGGGATGTGCTGGAATGTGACGTGGTTAGGACACACAAGTGCCAAGTAGGGTAACAGGGAAGCTCTCATTCCACCATTATGAACACACTAAACTGAGTTTTTGATTCCTTGTCTAATTACTTTAAAAATTAAAATACCACACTGTCTATTGTCTCCAGACTGACAGACAAGGAAGATCAACTTTCTCTCCCACCTCAAATACAAGCCTTTAAACATCTGGGCTTTTATTGCAGGTTTCTGCTGCCAATAGCGGCACTGCTTGATACTGTCTCAGTCACAAAAATCTAGAAAGAAAAAAGCTTCCAGCTCATAGCAAGACTGTGTTGAAGAAAGAATAGCTTTTTTCTATCTTTGCTGGGCAAAGTTTTGCCCAACACACACACACACCCCTTCTGTGTGTATGTTCACAGTATTGCCTCACTGCCAAAAATGGGCGGAAGTTTTTCAATAAAAGCTACAATGTTACTTGCCTCCTTCCTCTTTTAACTGCATTTGAAATTCTGGTTTTATTGAGTTTGATCTACTAGAATTCTACAAGTGATCTGAGAATGGATATCTTCCTTCTGAGAAGGCAAAATAGAGTCAAAGCACTCAAACACTGTCAAAGTGACTTTTCCATGTTTACAACACTACTTTTATTCACTTGTGATTGCCTATTTTCACAGATACTCCGACAGCTAGGAGGATGGATGTCTCAAATGTGATTCAGTGCTCCTGCCTCTCCAATAAGGCCTGAAAAAGCTGCAAATTCATATCTCCAGCAGCCTACCAGCAAAACCAGGGGCTTCACATTCCTAGGACAAACGTGGATTTACTTTTTTTCCTCTCTGTGCCTCCTTAAAAAGGGAAACAACCAACTACACAAAACCAAACAACCCCAACAACAAAACCCTGATCAAAAACTCTTGCTAACTCTTTATCTGATTCAGCCAAAACCAAATACACTTGTTCTTTCCCTGGCCACTTTCTTCATATCCCAGATAATATGAAGAATACTGCAGACTTGTCAGGACTCATGCCAGGAGCCAATGCTCCCTGCCACTGAGTCCACAGCACAAGCAGAAGTAGACCCAAGCAGGCACAGTGAAGAGCAAGGTGCAATGTTTCTCCGAGGAAAGGCAGCCACTGTAACTACAGCCCAGCCCTGCAACTTCCTCCCTGCTGGGCACACCCAACTGAGACACATGCAGGGGTCACTTCTAGGACAGAAAACCCAATCCCAAACTTGGTCCCTGGAAGCTGGATTATTGTGGGCGGCAGCAGGAATGCACATTTTGGGGTCTGCAGCTGGTGTGCAGCAGCTGGCATGCAGTGGCTTGCCAGAAGTAGCTCAGGGTGGAATTTCTCTCTTGGCCACTTGGATTTGAATTTTAAGCACAAGCCACTCTCCCATCTATTTATTTTTGCCTGCATTGTTCCTCTGCCCCAACAGCCACCAAGCACAAGAATGTTTTTCCCCTGTGGAGTAAGGAGCTGGCATTTTGGAAGAGAGCATCTCATTCTCACTCACTGGAAAGCAGTTTGGGGCATCTTAAAACAGTATTTAGCCTGTCAGTCCACCTAGGGTAAGAGGAGGCAAGACCTATACCACCCAGGGCAGACTTTTCAGCACCTTGCTGATCTGGCAGAGATGAATCTCAGCAGGAACAATGATCAAATGCTGGGACGAGCTGCAGTGAGCAGGGAGAGGAAGGACTCTGCGCTTTCTCCTCCTGCCCAGACCAAGTACTCGCAGGGTTTACAACAATTTCTTGCTACCAATCTGCTGTAAATCCTGGAGCTGTTTCTAGTCCTGTTGGCATCTCCTGGGATGTAGGCTCTCTCACTTGCAGAGCTCTTGCTCAGCTCAATACTGGAGTTTATAGCTCTATATACTCCAGCTTTGAGTATATAGTTCTACCTTATGGTCTCTGACCACTTGTGTACCACCTGCCAGCCTGGACACCATTTCAGTGTTTCTGCCTCTCTTCAGGGATGGGGAGACAACTGGGCAGGGAAGAGCTTTCTATGGCCAGGTTACTGGCCCTTCCACCCCATAGTACAGCTGGTGCCTGGAGTCAAGCCTCTGCCCTGCTGCATTTCCTTAGGGAAACCATTGAGCCCACCTGGCTCAGTGTCCCCATTCCTTGGGGCAGCAGGCCAAAAAACACTGCAGAGGTGCAAACCCATGGCAGATGGGGGCCAGTGCTCTGTCCAGGCAGATGCATCACGGGAAAGACTTGCTCTGCAAGTGGGTACTTACGCGAGGGTCCCACACAGGGTGAGGTGTGCCCGTGCCAGGAGTGCCCTCACTTCATATACTCCCCTTCGCTCACATAGTCCATAAAAGACCCCGGCAACTCAGCAAAATCTTCCAAGACAAGACTGGTGGAGTCCTCACCCAGCAGGTCACTGTCGGGCCGGGATGCCCGGGGGCGTGGAGCTGGCGGTGGCGGTGGCGGCGGCTGTGGCGGTGGCTCAGAGACGCTGGCCTGGCCAGAGCTGGGCATCAGCTCCTCACAGTCCTCCGACTCCCCCTCGGAGGAGGCTGGCCCAAGGACATGGTAGAGGCTGGGCAAGCGGATGTCGAAGCGGAGGCCAAACTTGGCGAAGAGCTTCTCGTTGAGGGAGTAGAGCTTCTCCGAGATGTCATAGCCCAGATGGGAGGAGAAGAGCCGGGCGATGTAGCGGTCCTTCCTCAGGAGGAGGTACAGTTTCTTCCTCGGCCAGGTGATGTAGCTGCAGTCAGTCTCGGCTGTCAGCGTGACCTGTGGGGCAGGGAGAAAGTGGAGTAAGTCCCGCTGCCTGGGCAGGGGTCACCCACATTGGAGCCATGTGCTTCACTCCAGGGAATGACCTCAGCCCCTTTGAATCCTATTCTCCTTGGAGATGGTGGGGCTAGAGAGCCAGATTGTCCTGGTTGAATGACTGGATAAATCCTCACCTGCTGCTGTTTTCTCTCCCTAAGGAGGTGAAGACCCCATTTTCCTATGCAATTAATAGCATGTCCTCATTTAACCCAGCCACAAGTCTGGCTATGATTCACCCTCTTGCTTCCAGATAATGCTCCCTATTGACACCTGAGGGATGTAGCTGAAATGAACAGGGCAGCACAGAGATCCCCATCCCTCCACAGAAATGCTGTAGAGGGGGATATTTTTGCATGCCCAGGCAGTGTGAGTTGCCAGCAAGTAGTCCTGGGGGAGGCTGCTGACCCATTCTGCTGCTGGATGGCACAGCCCCACAGACCCTGCTCCAAGAAGGCCCTGAGTGTTTGAAGAGCCACCTAAAAAGCTTGCCTGGTCATCCTGTTCCCAAGGGACACCCTATCTCAGCAGTTCTGCTGGATTCTGTAGGGCTGAATGGCCTTGAAGGACACTGCAGCACAGCTCAGTGAGAGGAAATAAAAAGCTTTTATTGTGTTCAAGTATACGTAGAAAACTCCTGAGGGTTTATTGGACTGATTTTAGAGAACGTTTCATTTTCCTTCTGGTTTTGCCAATGTAGAGACAGACTTCTTCCCCCTAGGTGTAGGACAAGAACAATTTCAGTCAAAACCATTATATAGTATGTAAGTGTATATGTTACTAAATAATAATAATAAAGTCAAGAAATGCAGGAATGGTCAAACTGCCCTGGGCCAAAGAAGAACATCTGAGTGTAATGGAGACACTGGCATGTGAACAAGTGCCGGAGCCAAAATATCCCGGGGGCTCCCTTTCACTCTTTGCCCAGGGGTCTCCTTGGTCAGCCGCCATGGCAGAGGGCCACTGGGAAGCTGAACATGGCTTGGCTGCATGTGTGTGTCCTTGAGTTTGATATTTAATGCCACTGCCCTGCAAACAGCTGTCTGGTGAAAGAAATACAGGGGATAAAACCTGAGAACTTTCCCAGGCCAGGCAAGCAAAAAGAAGGGTTACACAGAAATTGAAATGACCAGAATCTCATTTCCCTAACTTCTCTTACAGTGATCAAAAGTGATCCCTTCTTGTGAGGGACTGACATGCAATAAGCAAATCTGACACCAGCAGCAGTACAGCAAGACAGATTTCACCCTTGAATCCCTCCTGACACAAGTGCTCCAGCATCAGCAGGAGCCTGTAATTCAGCCTTCTGGGGAAAAGTGCCAGCCCTGAAACCAAACTCCTTCAGGCACTGGGACCCAACAGTCCTGTGGGAAGCAGACAGCCAAAGAAGAAATCTCAAGGAAACCAGCTATTCTTGTAGACTAAGTCATGCTTCTGCCATTTTTCAGTGGGCTCAGAATTGAAATTTTTCAATCCAGAGAACCATGAGGCAAGAAAAACCTTCCATGCCCTCTTCCAACAAAGACACAGAGTCCAACATGCACTTTTTAAACCAAATTATTGTGTTGCTAGGAGTAAGGTTGAGATAAGTTTTATTAACTACTCGGGTGAGAGGGACTAGTGGGTTAAACAGCTGCCAAAAGCAGCATATCACCATGGTTAAGCATGGCCACCAAGAGTGAGGTCCTTCCAGGACATCGTCTGGTCATGGACTGGTCAAGTTGGACCTGATGACTGCTGGTCTTGCACAGCTGCTACTTCTTCATGCTCCTCTGTAAGAACATGTAGGATTTAGGCATTTCCAGCATATGGCCTTCCCTACCTAGGGCTCTACATCCCCATCCTGATGCCCGGCACATCTGACCTCGCTGACCAGCCCTGTCGTGCACAGCAGGAGAGATGCCAGAATGTGGTGCTGGCAGGGATGGTGCAGCCTGGCACCAGCCTGCTCCCAGGCTGTCTCACACACCACAGATAAAGACCCTAAGGAGACCTGGGAACATTCAGTTCCATGAAAATCAGCTCAGAAAATGCTGTGGATGTCTTCGCAGGTTGCGTGCCTGCACTCAGCCATTTCCCTGCCCGTAGCACTGGGCAGCCATCACTCTCCCTGCTGGATTCTTAGGCAAATACAGCCCAAGAGCTAGCAGCAGTCTGCTGCCAGATGGAAGACCTGTGCAAAACATGAGATACACCAGCCCTAGCACAGCCATGCTGTTGTTGCCCTTTCTACTTCATTACCTTGACCTGACATCCCTATTTCTGCTCGCTATCTGTAGCCCTGTGCCACAGTGACACAGCCAGCTATCTCCTGCAACTATAATCACTGGTGATGGCACTCTTTTCAGGAGCAATCACCATGACCCTTTCACACATGAACCAAATTCAGACCCTAGGAAAGCAGATTTGGAGATCTGCCCTGTTTCAGCCAAGTCTGCTTGGGGCTACCCTCATGAGAAAGCATCATTCCCTCATGACCGTCCCACGGTCCCAAGGGATTAGCAAAATCCCTCCTCATATGCCCTAATTGACATAATCAGGATTGACATCCTGACAGGTATCAGGCCATCCTGGGATGTGTGTTAAAGATAGAGGGATGTAGGCTTAAGTAATCTTCTCCAGAAGGAAAGCCAAAGAAACACTGTGGGGTGTTGACAGCAAGGCCAAAATCCTTTCAGTTACTGCAAATGAGAATTGGTCTGGCCTCTCAGCAGGGGATCCTTCTGCTCAGAAAGAACCATATTCGGGTGTGAATCATCTTTTCTGCTTCTCCATACAAAACACATGACCATCAGAAACTTCTGTGAGGAACAGGATGTTTATGGATTTACATCACTGCTGCATATTGCCACAGCTGCCATCCTGATGCCAGGACAATGCACCCTGCTAGCAGTGTGCAGGGCAAATGCACCAGCACAGGTACTAGAGAACATCAGAAGGGAAGAGAGCCAGCAATGTGACACCTTGGATAAACTGGAAGGGGCACCATTATCCACCCTCCTTGCTCTCGGCAGTTAGTAGGAGCATGCCCTGAGATCTTCAGAACAAGGCAGGAATAAAGGTTAAACAGCCCATCACACAATCCTGTGCTGGCTAAACCACCAGGAAGGGGAGGAAAGTACTCCTGGTCAGCTTTGAATGGCATAATGAGGCCTCTCTACCTCCTCCTCAGACACATAGCAAAGCACCAAGGAGCTGAGCTGGGGTTACCTGGAAAGTTCCTTCCTCAGAGGGTCGCAGTGACTCCCATTCTGGAGAGTCCAGGAACTGGTATGGAAAGACGTAATGAAGGAATTGTCCATCCTGGCACACTCGGATCCTGCAGAGGACAGGTGAGGCAGACAGGCTTAGGCCACAAAGCAGATGTCACACAAATCTGATAGTTCAAACAGTCCCACCAGGGAGGAAAGAAATACTTGTCCCACATGTCTTGTACCCTCTTAGGACAGCTGCAGGTGCTTTAGTGATAAGGCTACCCCTCCTTTTCCTGTGGGAAACTATTTGCTGCCACTTCCCCATACTCTATCTGTTTTCTGTTTCTTGCTACAAAGACAGCTCTCACAGGTGCAATGCTTGGTCCTCACCCAGGACTTCTTAGCCCACAGGGCTGCTGCTGCTTTCTAGGTACTTCTAAGCCAGCCTGTAGCTCTTTGTGCTTGTATCTTCCTCCTCTCTCCAGGACTGCATGAGGGCACTCCCAGTCTCGGTACTGGGAAGTCATTACACTCAGGATCCCACAAAATCCCTCTGCCCGTGGCTCCTCACAGATCACCCTGAGAGCTCATAGTTTGCTGCACATTACCGCTCACTTTCTCTTGCTCTTCTAAGTATCCCTTTTCACTTTCTCTTGCTCTTCTAAGTATCCCTTTCGCCTACTTTTCCTACAATTGCCTGCCAGGGTCAAGGTCAAACGTGCACTCAGCTCTGCCGTGAGAATCGAGAGGGACCTGCACAGGCAAGCAAGGACAATGCCAGGGCACTCCGGAGTTCTATTCATAGCTCTGCATCACCAGACTCAGGGCCTCTTGCTTTCCTGTCACCATGTACCCCTGCTGTATGATGCACAAAGGCAATTCTTGACTTCAGGAGCTAAAAGACTCTGTTAAGGAGCTAAAAGACTCTGTTAACCTTTGGCTTCCAATCAGCTGGCAGTGCTGCCTGGAAGGATCAGGAACTGTAAGACACATTTCCCGATCCAGGCATATTATGCATTTACAAGAGCCCACTTGCTCAGTTTAAGAGAGAGCACCATAACAGCAATGCTCTGCTGGGTTAGCAAGGACCTCACAAGGCAATAGGGTGGGTACTGAGAAATGTAAATCCGTTCCCATCTACATGGAGCATCTATGTACATCCTTTACCAGCCAAGATGCACACTTCCCACTGCAAAAAAGAGCCCAACAACTACCCACCATCACCATCTTACTGTCTGTTGCAGTACTTTCATGCCCACAGAGTAGCATCACATTATCCAGTGCAGGTCAAGACAGCACAGACTCTTTCCCATCAATATTATTTGCAGATACAGTAAACTTCAGAGCCAGCTGCTCACCAGAGATGTTTGGTAAGGGGAAGACCTACTGGAAACACACGCACCAAATTTCCCTCCAGTGCTTTGCTATTCAACATCCTGGTGGATCCAGGGTGCTCTTAACACATCTTAGAAAAGGGACCAGCACCAAAAAAAAGGGAAGGTCAGCCATTCTTCTTTGCACACTTCCTCACCAGAGAGGATTGGCAACTGCAGTAAAACAGGAGCCCCAGGTGAGGCTTTGTATTACCAAAGGAAAATCCTTGTGAGACACATCTCCTGCATCTCAGCACTGCTCCTATTTAGAGATCTTCTTCCTTTCCCATTCTTATGTAACATTAATGCCAAGTTCCTGGCAGCAGATTGGAAGCCAACACTATTGCTATTTGTATGCATCTGGATTTTGCAAATTGCTAAGCGGATGTGCTGCTAAAGGCATGCCACAGGATCTCAGGTGAACAAATGCCAGTACTTGATGAGCACAGTTCATTCAATCAAATCTCCAGTGAGACTGTCTAGAGGTCCCTGAGGTTCTCCTTGGTGGTCCAGAAGAAGGAGTATCAAAAATGCTTGACAGCACAGGGAAAGAAAGACAACCTGATTAGGCAGGATCTACCACAGGAGAATACTCTCTCTTTTGATGAAATGATGCTCTAAGTGAAAAATGTCAAAGCCCTGAGGGTTGGGGTGCGGGGAACAGGAAATTCTCCCTGAACACTGCTGGCCAGGGAGAGCAGGTGAACTGAGGCCTCAGCACACTCAGCACACAGCTCTACACATCACAGAGGTGTGCCTGGTACCCCCAGAGACCACAGGTCCAGACACACTGCTCTCCTGCCTTGAGAAACACATTCTCACAGCCAGTCTGCTCCCATCAGAAATAAGATCACTTCAAAATGACAGACAAAGGGCTAAGGATTCATCAAAAGTATCACAGGTAAGGCTGAGCTGACCATTTCATTGTCCATTGCTTGTGTCTGCAAACGCTTCACGGAAATACTCTTAAGTTAGAAAAACAAAACAAAACTAACACCCCAAAAAGCAAATTTCCCCCTTCCCCAACAAACTGATGCATATCCCTGCATTTCCTTCCCAGAGGAAGGAAACAATCCTCACCCCAGTTTCTACAGAGGGTGATAATAAAACAATAAGCCACAGCAGTTTGCTGTCAGACTTTGTTCAGAAATGGGGGAGCCTTTACCTGCCCGACAGCAGCAACGAGAGGCGGTCAATGGGCGTCTTGCCCTCCACCGCATAATTCTGGTCTCTGACTAGCGACTGCACCTGCTCTTCACAGCACTTCACGATTTCTTTGTAGACTTCCAGGGGCACCTGCAAGGGCAGGTACATGGTCTTGTAGAGGAGGTCAAACTCTTCTGGGATGGTGTTTCTGCGGAGCCGGTAAGCCAGGTGAGCCAGCTGAAGCAAGCAGGCGAGGACCAGCAGCATGTTCCAGATGAAGATATCCAGCCCACAAGCGCTCAGCCAGCCCCACAGAGCATAGCAGAAGTAGCCTGGGGCCAGGAGGCCAAATATATAGAGGGACCCAAAGATGCCACTTCCCCCCATGTAACCCAGGAGGACAATGCAGCTGGCCAGCTGGTAGGCTGCTTCCTCCATAATCTCCTTCCAGGCATCACACACAGGAGGCTGGAGAATAGCCTGGTCCCAAGAGGGGCTGTTTGCGCTCATCCTTCCCCACTCCCCACCCTCCCCAGCCGTCCTGCGCTCAAAATGAATTGTCATACACAAAGGGTCCTGCAGAGGTTGGAAACCAGAGCTGCTGGGTAGCTGTTCCTCCTCTTCCTCTTGAGCACCGTCTGGTCCCACAGCAGCGCTTCAGAGCAACATGCTAAAAAAGTGCTGCCGAATGTTTTTGCACTAGAAAAATTCCAGAAGCGTTCACTTCTCCTCTTTGTGGCTCACAAAGCGTCGGCTGGCCCCCTTCTTAGCCACAACAGTGAGAAAAGAAGCTGGCAAATGTGAGGCCAAAAGAGCTCAGTCAAAAAAGGAGTCGAGGCCATTAGCTGGAAAACTCAGAGACAGGACAGAGATCTTGCAGTGCCTGTCTTGCCTGCGCTGCTGCAAATGGAAAAACGACAGTGAGAGAGCAGCAGAGGGAGCTGGTGTTGAGTGTGGAATGTGTATCTCTTGGCAGCGGAACGGAGAGAGACCCCAAATGGATAACCATGTTTGGAATTGAAATCCAAGGAGCAAAAGCAGCAAGGAGAACAGAGAGCAAGCATGCACCCGCTACTTAACATAACTCAGGCGGCCAGATAAGCCCAGCGCAGCACGAGGAGGGGAAAAGAGAAGGGAAAACAACCAGCTTATCACAGCGAGCTCCAGTCACACATGGGGCTCTCCACCGCACTGTGCTTCTGCGAGAGAGTGACTTTCACCCAGCAGATAAAAGGAAAAAGGTCACCCATTTTCCCACTGTGGCTCATAACTGTGGCAGGGACTTAGCAAAAGAGAGGCCAACTCTCAATTAATGCTCTCCAGGTCCATTACAGCCTCCCCTTACTCCAGGGAGCTCCCTCTCGTGGGGTGTTTTAGATCAAGGGGCACAAGGAAAAGCTCTGCACAGCCAGAGAACTGTGAATACAAGGGATATAACTAGAGCCTCTGGCACCCAGTTTCATCTATCATGAAGATGACACTATCCTGCCAAAAGCTTTGTGAGTGTGTAACACTTGGAAGCATGTTTTGTGGGGAAATCCAAGTTGAGGGATTACAGGCTCTGTTGGGAAGCACTCTTGAGAAATATCATCTCACATTTTCATTTTTTTTAATAGCTATTTAGAACTCACCCCAGATCTTCATTTAGCCCAATGAGGACAGCCAACACTACCCACTCAGGTAACCCAGGACACAGGCGCAAGAGGGAGCCTTTTGAGGTCAGTCCTCCATGGTCAGCTACACAAAACATGCATAAATACAATTCCTCCCCTGCTTCAAGTAACACAGACAGGATCTGCCCCACTGTCAGGATGCAGTTACATTTCAGGCATTGAAGCAACCCACGTGGTCTCCCAACACAGTATGAAGTCAGCCTGCATGGGTCAGTGGGGTAGAGATAGGGTTTCAAGGGTGGTCGTGTTTCAGGCCGAGCTTGCAGCTGCCCTGCCTAACATACCATTCCCATTGGCACCATTCAGTTAAAGACACACTAATCACCTCTCCTAACTAACAGTGCTCTGGAATAACACTGTCTCCCAGGCAAGGCTGCAGCAATGCAATATGGCATTAAAGAATTCATCGTGGTCTTGGCCAGTACAATCTTATTTCTTCAATGATGAGGCCACGTGCAATACAGAGCTGCAAGGTTCCTAAGAGAGCCCCCACGTGGGAAGGAAAGAAAACAAATTAAGCTTTGCACAGGATGAGTACAGTCCATTCAGAAAGGTGCTTTCTGTTAAGGGCAAAGTGAAACAGGGAACCTGGTCTTCAGAGGCCCCTTAACTAAGTGAAGAAATTAATCCTAGCTACTGAAGCAGAACAACACTCATCTGCAAGAGGTATGGGGAAATTAAGAACTCCTAGAACCTTCCCTCGACCTTCCCTGCAAAGCAGGACAGATGATCTTGTGGCTAAAGCACCACAATCAAAATCTTGGGATCTAGGTTCTGTTTTTCATACTATTGCCATATTCACTATATGATCCCAACAGTTTAGCCTCTGCAAAAAAAAAAATGTGAGGAGCTTTCTCTCCAGGATAGGCTGACATCTGATAAAATGAGAAATTGAGATATTAAGATTGTGAACACTTAGGAGAAAGATATTTTACATAAGATCTGTGAGACAAAACTGAACTGCTATGAATAGAAATGTAGAACTAGATTAGAGGAAGCATCCTGAGAAGCAGCATTGCAATTTCTTCTGCCTTTTCATACTACCAAAACCCTTTTGCAGGAACATCAAAGAAAGTGGAAAGGAAGGAAGTTAATAATTTAATTCTTCAGTTAAGTAAATTCCTGAGTAAGAAATAAGCTGGAACACAGTGTTAATGACTCATTAAGACAAAGAAAGTCCTTCAGCTTCAGAACATAAACAGTGGTGTTGCAGTGATGCTGAAACCAGCACCGTGGGTAAGGATGACCTGTTGTGATTTCTCTGTGAAAGGCAAACAGGAAGCTTTCAACCCACAGCAGTAACAGCACAAAGCTCTCATTAGAAACTGCACAACTTTTCTGCTGGGTCCCAATGGGACACTGTAGAGAGAACAATACAGCACTTTAAAAGGTAGATCTCAGAGCACACACTAGAGATTAATTTAGTGTTTTCAGACTCAAATTTCTAAAAGGAAGATTTGTAAAGTGACTGAACCACCAAGACTAAATCTTCCTTTCTTCCTTGACAGTACCACGGCCATACAAATCGTCCTCACAGTACTTTCAGTTTTCCACCCAGCAAAAGTAAAAAAACCCTCTTATTAGCAAAGAGACATTTTCTTTTCATGCCTTACTTTGGATTAGAGTAAGTGCCCTTCATCCAGGGATGCTGGCTCATCCAAGATGAATGTTCAAAAGCCAGTACTGATTCAATGGGAAATTGACATACCAAAGTTGAAAACTATTTGGAATGAAGATGGCAAGTTTATAGAAAACACCTGAACAGCATTAAGACCCTTCCCTGGAAAAAAAACCCCACAAAAGCATTACTTCAAAATGTGTTTGTGAAGAAGAAAATAGACATGCCAAGCTTTTCAGCCCTGAAACAGGCAGTGCGGAAACAGGTATTTCACCGATTTCCCCACTTAAAATGGACTCAACCAGTAGCACTTAATATTCAGTTGCATGTGATGATGCAATGCAGGTACAGTCTGCACTATGTTTGGCAAATAAATCCTCTGTCCTTGAGAGCCACACAACACAGAGATTATCAGTCCTAAATCTCACAGCAGCTGAATGACTGGTTATTTTGCCCAACCCTCAGGAAGTCAACAGGTGATCCCATAAGCTGAAAACTAGTTTGATGACCTAAGACTTTAGTGGCTTGAAGTCAGAGAGGGCATAATCAAACACCTCTTTTTTGATTTATTATACAGTGCTGGCATTAACCTGCAAAATTGTTACACACAAATAAACCCTGTAGCTCTAAAGTATGCACATTTGATTTACAACTGTTGGGGAAGTCTCAAGCCTACCCCAGACAAGCTCACAGTGAATTACAAAGGTTCACAGATGGCATGTACAGTATGTAGTTGGGCTGCTCTATAGTTTAGTCAGGTTTCCTGCTACTGCCATGTTTCACACCCTCAAGGTATACATCACCATGTGCAGGACAGTGTCTGCCACCAACAATGTCAGTAAGTACAAACATAGGAACTCCCACTCCCTGAATGAAACCCTGAATCCCCTCCACAGGAATACCATAGTAAGAAATGAAGCCACTCAGCAAGGAATTTGATTTGACTGCAAGGCTCTTCCATTGTTGATTTTGAATATAGATTTATCCAGTATCCTTTCTGTACTTGTTGCACACAGGTACACCAGCATCCCACTCATTTCCAAAAACTTCCTAAAGTACTTGCCACGCTTTTACCTTCATGCAGGTCTAAATATCCCAGTCCTTAAGTGAATAGAATTTGTGTAAAATTGTGCAGGATTATGATTTTTTTTCTTTTCTTGACCTGATATAAACAGCATTCCACTCTTGTTTGGCCAGTCTCTGCTCTGCTCTGTGGCACCATTTCTGCAGTTTACCCAGACCATGCTACCACAAAGCAGGTGCACATCCACCTTTTAGCATTCTCTTCAGTTCATGCTCTGACACACAATGGTTCAACAAGAAATAACCTTATTGAATTTTTACCTCAAGACAGTAATAAACACCAAGAAGACCACCAGGTCCTGATACTCAAACAGCTACAATGGCATTGGCAGCTTTGAATGCTTTCTGCCAGAGCCACACCTGCATCCCTACTCAGAGGCTGAAAGCCAGCATGGACACAACTCTTGCCTCAAGACAGGATGTCCTGAAAACATTCCTAGAGGAAGAGTCTAAACTCTTCTCACACAACTTCTGAGTCTCAGCAGAAGCAGCACCAAGTGCCACATCCTAAATGTTCACAGTCAAAAGCCATCGCTAGATTAGGATACACAGGGTCCAGCAGGAAGAGAAACAATCATGACTGCACCCACCCCTCCTGCAGGATCAAAGCCAGGAGAAAAATCTAGACAAAGCACAGATTTTGTGTCTTCAGCTTCTGAAGAGAAAACTCATCAGGAGAAAAAGTAATCAGCGATATCATCTTCAGGAAAGTCAACTCACCACAGGAAAAGTAACATTAGGGTTGCACAGTTACAATGTATGAAGCCAGAAAAGCCCCAACTGTAACAAACCAGAAATTGCAGATAATGTTTCTCAAGATTGTAAGAAGGAATCAAAGGCAACAACCACCCTCCCACTATCATCTCATACAAGTGAAAAAAGAAGCCAGAAAACAAAAGCCCATGCACGCATAGCACAAGACCAACACAACAAAAACTCAGCATAAAAAAAGCGCTTTACTTTCAGGCAAGTAACCAGTGCATAAAAGTCACCTGCAGTGACAGGGAGCAATCCTCTGCTCCATTTCCCTTGAAGAACTACCGTCTCAAGCGAGTTTGATATGGGAAGTACCTAATTTTTCACTATAATAATGAAGCTTGGGTAATGGGACTCAAAAACCGTCGGAAGAATTCGAACAGGGGAAATCAAATACAGTTTTGACTTAAGGAAGCTCATTTCGTAAGTTCGTGGTCACTTTTGTACAAACATAGCTACTGTCATGAACAACACTACAAGCTTCAGCATGACTGCTAAAAGCCATGAATGCAATGATACCAGCATGA